CATGACGGACATGGTTATCAAACAGAGGGATAAACTGAAACAAAATAAGTCCCCGGGACCCGACGAGTTGTTTTCCAGGGTACTTAAAGAATGCAAGATAGAACTTAGTCTGCCATTAACGAGTGTGTTTAATTTGTCCATCCTTACTGGTGTTGTGCCTGAGATGTGGAAGATGGCTAATGTGGATCCTATATTCAAATCAGGGGATAAGTCCATTCCTTCATATTACCATCCACTAAGCCTCACATCTATAGTAGGCAAATTATTAGAATCACTTATAGGTGACATTATTAGAATTCACCTTGAAGAGAATAATTTGATTAATGAACCTCAACATGGGTTCACGAGAGGTCGTTCCTGCCTGACAAATTTACTGACGTTCTTCAATAGAGCATTTGAGGCAGTAGACAGTGATAAAGAATATGATATTGTTTATTTGGATTTTAGTAAAGCCTTCGATTGTACCTCACAAGAGACTCTTAAGAAAAGTGGCAGCTCATGGTATAGGAGGTAAAGTTCTAGCATGGATAGAGGCATGGCTTACCAATAGAAAGCAGTTTCCATTAATGGTGTCAAATCTGAATGGGGATTAGTCACTAGAGGAATTCCACAAGGATAAGTTTTGGGCCCTCTGTTGTTCATAATTTACATTAATGACCTTGATGAAGGGATTTTGAGTGATATGAGCAAATCTGCTGATGATACAAAGATAGGGCATACGACTCATTCTGAGGAGGATTCCAGTGAACTCCAGGAGGATTTGGTCAAATTAATGTCTTGGTCTGAAAAATGGCAGATGAAGTTCAGTGTGGACAAGTGTAAAGTACTAGTCCTTGGGAATGAAAATAACCCTCAAAGCTATAAACTAGGTGAATGTGAAAAAGACTTGGGAGTCATGGTAAGCAGAAATCTAAAGCCAAGACAGCAGTACCTAAGTGTGTGCAACAAGGCTAACAGTATAAGTAACAGAAGTTCGGAAGTTATTTTACAGCTCTATACTACACTAGTGAGGCCTGATTTAGATTATGCTGCTCAGTTTTGGTCTCCTTACTACAGGTTGGATACAGACTCATTGGAGAATATACAAAGAAGAATGACTAAAATAATTTGCTGTGTAAGGAATCTCCCATATGAAGACAGACTTAGAGCCTTGAATCTCCACTCTCTGGAGAGATGTAGAATGTGGGGAGATATCATTAAAGTGTATAAGTGGATGATGAGGATAAACAAAGGTGATATTAATAAAGTACTGAGGGTGTCGAACCAGGTAAGAACCAGAAATAATGAATTTAAGTTGGATAAATTTAGATTTAGAAAGGACATAGGCAAGTACTGGTTTTCTAACAGAGTTGTGGATGCATGAAACAATCTCCCGAGTAGGGTGATCGAGGTTAGGACCTTGAGTGGTTTTAAAAAGAGATTGGACAAATATATGAGTGGAAGGGGGCTGGGTTTGATTGGTGTCATTGGGTATGGGAGGATATTCTTGGGAAGCTTTGAGAAGGGGTCGTGTTGTATGGGTCAGTAGGCCTTCTACAGTGTTCCTACATTCTTATGTTCTTATGTTTATCTTCTTCTAGCCCACTATAAAAATTAATTACTGGGATATTGTTAGTGTCTTTCTGTGTAAAAACCGAGAGAAAATAATTATTTAAAATAGAGCACATTTCGTTCTCTTTGTCATTAAGATGCCCAGAGTTACTTTTAAGGGGACCTATCTTATCTCTAACTTTTGTTCTATAAACCTGGAAAAAAACTTTTTGGGTTAGTTTTCGAATCCCTAGCAACTTTAATTTTGTACTCCCGTTTAGCTTTTCTTTTCCCCTTTTTAACGTCCCTCTTAATGTCAATATACTGTTTCATAAGATGACCCTCACCTCTTTTGATATGCCTATAAATTCCTTTATTCTGCCCTAAAAGATATTTGAGCCTATTATTCATCCATTTTGGGTCATTTGTATTTGATCTAATTTCTTTATATGCGATAAATGTTCTTTCGGCAGCATGTTTAGTGTTCAGAAAGCTGTCATTTGATAGCTCTGTTCGTTACCCCAGTCCAGAGATGACAAGTGTTCTCTAGGCCCATTGTAATCTGCTAAGCGAAAATCCTGGATCATTACTGTCATACTTCCATTCTATGCTAAAGGTAATTGATTTGTGATCGCTTGTGCCTAGTTCCTCTGTAATTTCTAAATTATTAACAAGGGTTTCTTTGTTTGCCAGAACTAAGTCAAGCAGGTTATTTCCCCTTGTAGGTTCTGTCACAAACTGCTTCAAAAAACAGTCCTGAATTACTTCTAAGAAGTCATTTGATTCTAAATTCCCAGTCAAGAAATTCCAATCAATTTAACTAAAGTTAAAGTTCCCTAGAATTACTATATTATTGCGCCTTGTGGCCTTAACAATTTCCTCCCATAGTAGTTTCCCTTGGTCCCTATCTAAGTTTGAGGAACGGTATGTCACTCCTAGAATCAATTTTTCATGCCCCTCTGAAAATTTTATCCAGACAGATTCTGTATGTTACTTCAGAATTAATACCCCTTTTTATGCAACAGTTCAAACGATCTCGGACATACAATGCCACCCCACCCCCCTTCCCAATACTTCCATCTACTTGGAAGAATTTAAAACCCTGAATGTGGCATTCCACAGGCATGTCCCGACTTCTGGAATTAAACCATGTCTGACACAGCAACATCTTGGGATCTTAATACAGGGAATTCTTCACTCGCTTAACCGTTGGGCACGACCTTCTTCCACATTGGACAAATGTGATACTACCTACAACTGCTGCACCTCTCCTGCCTACGGTATATAAGCTACTTCCGCAGATATGCTGTAGTCTTTTCAAGATTGATGGACTGACCACATTGGCTCAAGGCTGAGGGACTGATTACCTCATACTCCTCATGTTCTTCACCATTCTTCTTTTTATGGACTGATGATGCCACTGTGTGGCGAAACGTTTCCTCAATAAAGATACCCAAGTGTTGCATATGTGTCTAATTTATCAGCTTGTCAGTTCTCTGAACCATTCATCTATATTCCCATATGTTGCATAAGTGTCTTAATCTTCAATGTGTCAATTTTCAAAGCCATTTATCACGCCTAGAAATCGGCAGGATGGGACGATCTCTACCAGCGGTCAGGAGAAAGCTGACCTCTTTGCAGGACAATTTGCTGCAAAGATTCAAGTTTCTGATCCAGCAAGGGAATCTCCTTTGCTAGCCACAAGAACTGTGTCAAAGTTGTCAAAGGGACAAAAATGTAGGATGCACTGTATTTTCTTATTAAATTGCTGGACCAAGAAAAGACTGTGGACCAAGTTAAGCTGAGCCCAAGATTGCTGAGCAGATGTGCAGTTCAGCTAGCATCACATCTAACTCGTATATATCAGCACTGTCTAACACAGTGTATATGACCTCTGTGGAAAAGGACAAATATATTCCCTGTTGACAAAAAGAAGAGAAAAGAAGAGCAGAAATCAGCAATTACAGACCAGTATCACTCTTGTCAATCAATGGCAAGATTCTTGAGAATGTATTAACGGCTTGACAAAGTTTCTGGAGAGCGAAATATTGCCACATTAGTTACAGCTGTGCCCATTTACCTAGCAGTAATCTTATGGCAGATGACAGGGTTTTTCTACCATTTCAGGAAAGGGTACTGCTACTGATCTGCTGTTAAACTTCTCCACTAAGTGGCACCAGTCACTAGATAAATCCAATTAGCTGTGTAGCAGCAGTGGATATTGCTGGTACCTTGGACCGAGTATGGCACCAGGGACTTCACGGAACTGTAAGCATTAAGACTACCAGCTTAGTGATTACTTTCAAGGTAGATCTCTAATATCACTCCTAACAAAATTATAATGCTTCCCTACAGCCACGTTTCATTGAACATCTCCAAAGTACTCGTGCGAGCTAACATAAGAGTCATCATTACAACAGGCACCTCCATCAACAACCTGAGCAGGGAATAAATTGAAGATCCTTGTACCTGCCAATGAAGGAGTTTACACTTCCCCCTGTAGAGGCTGTGACAAGGTATACGTTAGCGATACAGCAAGAAGCCTGGAAACACATCTCAAGGAACACATTACTTCATGCTGGAACGACAACTTGAATACCGCATGTGTACAACACCAGAATTCCACAAAGACGCATGCCAAGAAACTAAAGAACCCAGTTTCCGCAGACGTAAATGCCTTGAATCATCCTTAATCGTCATTTCAGACATTATTAAACAGAATAAAGGCATCTTCGTCATCTCTGAAGTATTAGTAAGAGTTCTCAAAACAATAAACACCGCCATCACATAGCAAACAAGAATTACCTCTATTGCTGCTGCTACTAGTATTACTACTTCTACTACTACTACTACCAACATCAAGGGCCATTTAACTTAATGTAGTGTTTATGCTTTCAGTTCTTACTTGCTGCCTGTAAATCCTCTCTGTGTCTTCTGGAGAGTGAAACATTATACCACAATAATGGATTTAAATTAGATCAATTTAAATTTAGATTTTAGATATGATGTAAGAAGGTACTGGTTTTCCAACAGAGTTGTCGATGAGCAGAACAACCTGCCAAGTTGGGTAATAGAAACTAATACTTGGGGGGGGGGGTAAAAGTAGGCTAGACAAATACAGTATATGAGTGCAAAGGGTTGTGTTTTAGTAGGGTCTGTCTATCATGAGGCACTGAAGCTAAATTATTTGGGAGCTTTGGGAACAAGTTAGAGAAATATGTGTGACAGTGGTTGTATTTGAGAATGGCATGCCTAATATAGGCCAGTAGGCCTATTGCACTGTTCTTCCATTCTTATGTTCTATTTTAAGGATTATTTTTGTCTGATGGTGAAAAGGTTGCATGCAGACTTCAAGACCCTAATATAGTCGATGGGCTTTAAACTTTATTACCCATCCAACATTTTACATAAAATACATATTTTTTTTTTCTTTAAGCCAGAAAGATATCTAATCAAATACTTTTGAGCAGGATAACCGCATTGATACAATACCAAGAGTTCCGACCTTGGCTGCGTAATGACTTCCTGTTCAAGCTGCTGGGATATGCCAAGGAGTATGATGCTTGTCTCAAGATCCTCCATAACATGTCCACCAGCACCATCAGGGAGAAGAAGAAATATCTGAAGAACAACAAGAACAAAACTGCAGTTCATCAGGAAGATGATGTATTGGGTAGGACAATTTTTTTTTTAATTATTCCTAACGTAAGACTTGTATCTGAAAGATGCGACATGTACTCATCTATTTGTATTCACCTATTTGTGGTTGCAGGGGTCGATTCACAACTCCTGGCCCCCTCCTCTTCACTGATTGGTACTAGGTTCTCTCTCTCCCTGCTCCATGAGCTTTATCAAACCTCGTCTTAAAACTATGTATGGTTCCTGCCTCCACTACATCACTTTCTAGGCTGTTCCACTTCCTGACAACTCTATGACTGAAGAAATACTTCCTAACATCCCTTTGACTCATCGGAGTCTTCAGCTTCCAACTGTGACCCCTTGTTTCTGTGTCCCATCTCTGGAACATCCTATCTTTGTTCGCCTTGTCAATTTCTCACAGTATTTTATATGTCGTTATCATGTCTCCCCTGACCGTCCTGTTCTCCAGTGTCGTCAGCAGATTTATAATACGTACATACAGCTCCTGTTCGCATCGCTATTGGGCCGTGCGGACGTGCTGCGCAGTAGCTCCTGATTGAGTTGGCTTTTGCGCAGTGTTGACGTGTACTTGGATCTGTGAAGACCTGTTTGCGCGCTCTCTAGAATTGAAGCAAGATGCCCTCCATCGAGCAACTTTACCAACAGCTTAAGGAAGAATTGAGGTTGGCGAATATGGAAATTCGGCAACTGACCGAGGAAAACAAAAAGATTCGGAGTAGTCCTCCTGTTTTGAGTCCTCAGGTCAAAAAGGGGAAACTGGTCAGTGGCTGGACAGCAGGGAAAGAAGTTGACGATCAAGAAGACAAATGGAAAGGTAGAAACGATGAAGAAGAAAGAGACTGCCGTGGAAAACTGTTGTGGAAACATTCAATACATTCTCAGTGCTACCCGACGAATGTGAGTCGAATACTGGGAACGTCACGACGAAAGACATTAAGGAAGGTAAGAATATTGTTGTTGTTGGGGCAGCCAAGTTAGGTATATGGATAGGGCGTTCTGCTTGAAGGACAGGAGTAGGAGACAGAGAGTTTGCTTTCCTGGGGCTGGGATGGAGGATATTGTTAGCTGTCTGGATGACATCATGAGAGGTAATGGGAGCAATCCTATTATCTGTCTCAGTGCTGGAGGCAACGATGTTGGCAGATGTAGGAGTGAAGGGACCTGATTAGCAGGTATAGGTCAGCAATAGAAATAATTAGAAGTAAGGGTGGGAACCCTCTCATATGTGGTATTTTGCCAAGGAGGGGAGTTGGAAGTGAATGGTTGTCCAGGCAATTGGTGTCAATTGCTGGCTGGACAAATACTGAAAGGGAAAATTGGGGTAACATTCATTGACAACTGGGACCTTTTCTATGGCAGAAATGACATGTATGCTGGGGATGGGGTTCACTTATCTAGGTGTGGGGTGGGAGCACTGGCAACTGCAGTGGAGGGAGCAGTTAGGACTTTAAACTAGGAATAGTTAGTGGTATGGGTTTTGGCAGGAAAACAGTGAAGTTCCAGTGTAGTAATATTACGAGTTCTAGGGGAACTAGTAATAATAAGAACGAGATAGATATTGAAATGCCAGGGACCTTGGGTGATAAGGACAGTAATAAGTTTAGTAGAAAAATAGAAATGAGCAGGAAGGGTAAAGAGAAAGGAGAGTCTTTCAATGTTTATTATGCTAATTGCCGTATTTGCTAGGAATAAGATGGACGAGTTGAGATTAGTTGCTAGTGTAGGTAACATTGATGTATTTGCCTTAACGAGACGTGGTTTAATTCAAAAAGTCGGGACATGCCTGCAGAATGTCATATTCAGGGTTTTAAATTGTTCCAAGAAGATAGAAGTATTGGGAGGGGGGGGGTGGGTGGCATTGTATGCCCGAGATCGCTTGAACTGTTGCATAAAAACGGGTATTAAGTCTGAAGTAACACATACAGAGTCTGTTTGGATAGAATTTTCAGAGGGGCATGAAAAACTGATTTTAGGAGTGATATACCGTCCCCCAAACTTAGATAGGGACCAAGGGAAACTACTATGGGAGGAAATTGTTAAGGCCACAAGGCACGATAATGTAGTAATTCTAGGAGACTTTAACTTTAGTCATGTTGATTGGAATTTCTTGACTGGGAATTTAGAATCATGCGACTTCTTAGAAGTATTTCAGGATTGTTTTTTGAAGCAGTTTGTGACAGAACCTACAAGAGGAAATAACCTGCTTGACTTAGTTATGGCAAACAATGAATCCCTTGTTAATAATTTAGAAATTTCAGAGGAACTGGGTGCTAGCGACCACAAATCAATTACATTTAGCATTGAATGGAAGTACGATAGTAGCGATAACTCAGTAACAGTCCCAGATTTTCGCTTAGCAGATTACGATGGGCTTAGAGAACACTTATCATCTGTTGACTGGGGTAACGAAGAGAGCTATCAATATGACAGTTTTCTGAACACTATACATGCTGCTCAAAGAGCGTTTATCCCATATAAAGAAATTAGATCAAATAGAAATGACCCAAAATGGATGAATAATAGGCTCAAATATCTACTAGGGCATAAGAAAGGAATTTATAGGCGTATCAAAAGAGGTGAGGGTCATCTTATGAATCAGTATATTGACATTAAGAGGGACATTAAAAAGGGGATAAGAAAAGCTAAAAGGGACTATGAAATTAAAGTTGCTAGGGATTCTAAAACTAACCCAAAAAGTTTTTTCCAGGTCTATAGAACAAAAGTTAGAGATAAGATAGGTCCCCTTAAAAATAACTACGGGCACCTTACTGACAAAGAGAATGAAATGTGCTTGATTTTAAATAATTATTTTCTCTCAGTTTTTTACACAGGAAGACACTAACAATATTCCAGTAATTAATTTTTACAGTGGGCTAGAAGAAGATAAATTATGTAACATCACAGTCACTAGTGAGATGGTTGTGAAGCAGATAGACAGACTGAAGCAAAATAAGTCGCCGGGTCCTGATGAGGTTTTTTCAAGGGTTCTTAAGGAATGCAAAATGGAACTCTGTGAACCATTAACTAATATTTTTAATTTATCTCTTCAAAACAGGTGTAGTGTCTGATATGTGGAAGATGGCTAATGTAACTCCTATTTTTAAAACAGGGGACAAGTCGTTACCGTCAAATTACCGCCCAATAAGCCTGACCTCAACTGTAGGCAAATTACTAGAGTCAATTATAGCTGAGATTATAAGAAGCCATCTCGATAAGCATAGCTTGATTAATGATACTCAGCATGGATTCACAAGAGGCCGGTCTTGTCTAACTAATTTATTAACTTTCTTCAGTAAAGCTTTTGAGGCTGTTGACCACATTAAAGAATTTGATATTATTTACTTAGATTTTAGTAAGGCTTTTGATAGAGTTCCGCACCATAGACTGTTAAAGAAAGTGGCAGCTCATGGCATTGGGGGAAAAGTGCTCTCGTGGATCGAGTCATGGCTCACTGACAGGAAGCAGAGAGTGTCCATAAATGGTGTTAAATCCGAGTGGGGATCTGTAACAAGTGGCGTTCCACAGGGATCAGTCTTGGGCCCGTTGTTGTTTATAATATATATCAATGATCTTGATGAGGGAATTACTAGTGATATGAGCAAATTCGCCGATGACACAAAGATAGTAGGATAATTGATTCAAACGTAGATGTTATGGAACTTCAGGAGGATTTAAACAAACTCTATTCTTGGTCAGAAAAGTGGCAGATGCAGTTCAATGTAGATAAATGCAAGGTTCTGAAGCTTGGGAGTACCCATAACCCTAGTACTTATAAGTTAAATGATGTAGAACTTAGCCATACAGATTGCGAAAAGGACTTGGGGGTTATGGTGAGCAGCAACCTTAAACCAAGACAGCAATGCCTAAGCGTACGTAATAAGGCAAATAGATTACTGGGATTTATATCAAGAAGTGTAAGCAACAGAAGTCCAGAGGTCATACTGCAGCTTTATACATCATTAGTAAGGCCTCACTAGATTATGCAGCTCAATTCTGGTCTCCGTATTACAAAATGGACATAAATTCGTTAGAAAACATTCAGCGTAGGATTGACTAAATTAATACATAGCATTAGAAATCTTCCTTATGAAGAAAGATTGAAGACTCTTAAGTTACATTCACTTGTTAGACGAAGAATGAGGGGAGACCTGATCGAAGTGTGTAAGTGGAAGATAGGTATTAATAAAGGGGATATTAATAAGGTCTTGAGGATGTCTCTCCAAGAGAGAACCCGCAGTAATGGATTTTAAATTAGATAAGTTTAGATTTAGAAAGGACATAGGAAAGTATTAGTTTGGAAATAGGGTAGTTGATGAGTGGAACAGTCTACCTAGTTGGGTTATTGAGGCTGGGACTTTGGGTAGTTTCAAATCTAGGTTGGATAAGTACATGAGTGGGAGGGGTTGGATTTGAGTGGGACTTTCACATCAGAGCTTATTTCTTGGGTGGCATTGAAAATTGGGTTGGGCAAATGTTTTGTTAGTGGGATAAATTGTAAAGGACCTGCCTAGTATGGGCCAGCAGGCCTCCTGCAGTGTTCCTCCTTTCTTATGTTCTTATGTTAATAACACTATGTAACAAAAATTCATTTTTGTCGTGTGCCTGGATATAAGCATAGTTTACCAGTCAATTCTTTATAACTAAACAAACTTTGAAAAGAAATTTTGTTCCCAGAACTTTGTTTTTGTGGTTAGGACACTTCTGGAACACTTTCAGGAAAGACTGATGTAAAACTATTATGTTCAAGAGTTTTGCTTGACAAATATAAAAACAGGGACTCACAAACCAGCATTCAGTTCAGCTCTGACTACCTGAGAAGACACATCAGAAGAAGTGAAATGGCATCAAGAGGCTGCAGTCATTCTCCAGATGCATTCTGCTATATATGTGGTCAGTTCATTAAGACAAGAGCAAAGAAGTTCTCTGTAACAGCATCTAAAAAAATGTGTGAAGCTTACAACATAAATTTTGTCATGTCAGTTGTGGACCAAGACAAGACCTGGGCACCTCATG